CATATTTATGTTTTACTAGCTAGAGGATTTTCTTTGGTTGAAGTCAAGCACAAAGCTACACAATGGGCTATATGTGCATTGCCCAACCCGGTTTTTAGCGTTGTAAGTCCGGGGGCGACTAGAGGCAGGTCTTGTTTATTGAGTTCATTGACTTCCTGACTGTTGCTTTCATGATAGTGATAGTGAAGCAATGAACTGGATTTTTTTTTGTCTCTTGTAAATAAGTTATATTCCATTCTTTCTTTAACGTTAGTTTATACTTATTTTTGTTGTTCTTCATTTATATTTTACTATGGAGGTTACTTTGAGATGATAGCTTATTATATGGATTTAGCTGGCCGTACACCATGAAATTTTATTGGGATTACGGCCCAAAATATCGTCAACAGCGAGGATAGTTTTATGTTTTTTTTGTTGTAAAGTGCAAAACTACACGATGGGCTATCTGTGCTGTGCCCACCACGGGTATCAGAACCCGGTTTTTAGCGTTATATGACTCCAGACTTACCGCTGAGCCACTGGATGGCGCGAAGGTGCTCAACTGATGAAAAAATGCATTCTGATTATAATTATTATAAGGTTATATTTTATGATACTGCATACTTCCAGTTATACATATTATATATATATATATATATATATATTTAATTACCTTACATTAATTACTGGGTTGTATTTTTAGTATTTTTTTTTCTTTTTTTACATATCGATAGCTTGATTTCACCAGGAGTTACTGAAAAGTTTACTAAGTGCTGAGTAACCCCAGTGTTAGTTCTTCACTGAAGCTCGTACTACTGCTGCTCTATGTGATTTATTTCCTATTCATTCTGATCATAAAGCCATCTTCTCTTCCGATATTTCTAATACTTTAGTCTGATAGGAGAAATACCAGGCTTTAAAATAAAAGCTACCCAATGGACTATCCGTGCTTTGCCCACCATGGGTATCGAAACCCAGTTTATGGCGTTGTAAGTCCGAAGACGTACCGCTGTGACACTGGAGGGCCCCACTGTTCGATCAGACAAAAAATAGCACAAGAGTTGGCGGTGGATGCGGATGGCTAGCTGCCTTCCTTCAAGTCATTTATTTCAAAATCACGGAAGGCTATGAGTCGGTAGTCCTTGTTGAGCCTTGCGCAAATATCCGAAGCAAGCAAACGTATTGTCACTAGAACGTTCCATAAGATTATAATATTAAATACATTTAAAATACAAGAGAATACAAGAATATAAAACTAAATCAATACACTTTGAATTCACATTTTCTACTTTATTTCAAAACAATTTATAATATAGTTTAAATGACAAAATTAAACAAACACACACACACACACATATATAATGGCTCACTATTTTTTTTTCTGCACTGTGAAACTGGTATTATATCCAGGTTTCGATGTGATTGATCAATAACACATTCATTCAATTACTTTTGAAATGGGGGCCCGGCATGGCCAGATGGTTAGGGCACTCGACTCGCAATCTGCGGGTCGCGGGTCCGAATCCCCGTCACACCAAATATGTTCGCCCTTTTCAGCCGTGGGGGCGTTATTATGTGACGGTCAATCCCACTATTCGT